CGAGCGATCAGACGAACCACTGCGCAGCCCAGTGTGTGGAGGAATGGTTGAGAAACGAGCGCATAGCAACGACCAAGCCTCCGTGACGGACACAACAATGAATGTAAGGGAATTGAAATAGTACTAGGAAAGCCGTCACATTCGCTGGTGTAAATGTGATATGTCCCTGAGCGTGGCCGCGTTTTACGCGTCGATGTACGTGATATAATGGCTGTGTTTGTGTATGACCCGCAAAGTAGCACTCTGGGGTTCGACGGTTTAGGTTTACTGTTCAAATTTCGACTCAAATTGTTTAAGATATCCTATTAATATGAATTGTCCTTAATATTTTGATAAACTCATGTCCGATTGATGTGATCGCACTCATTATTTTTTCTTTAGCTGCGTTTAACGGATTCACGTGAGTTATCCTATCGCTATGGCCCAGACATATGCAATTCTGATTCACACCACTGTACTCTTGTCAAGTCACAGCTTTGACCCTTGCCCTATCCGTTTTCATTCTCAAAATATAACTTTTTTTGGTCAATCAGAGAGAGAGCGTGTGAGAGTGTATGTTGATAGAGAGGTAGGTGTGGAGCTGTGGTGTGGTTGGAGAGGAGAGCAAGAGGAGAGAGGGCGGAGATGAGAGAGAGAAGAGAGATAGATGAGCGAGAGAAGAGAGATGGAGGAGAGAGAGACGAGCAAGGAGAGGAGAGAGAGGAGAGAGAGAAGAGAGAGAACATCTGTGCGCTTTTCTCTCAACTACATCTGTTAGAGAGAGAGAGAGAGAGAGAGAGAGAGAGAGAGAGAGAGAGAGAGAGAGAGAGAGAGAGAGAGAGAGAAGTGGGGGATGACAAGATATCGTTAATTCATGTCGTGGTAATAAGGAGAAGAGGTTATGAGGAGATGAGAAGGCGTCACGGCTAGAATAGAAATGTAAAGCCTGTGCTTTCGCATGAACAACAAATACCGTGCTGTTGGCCGGAATTTAATGCCACACCGGTGGTTGGACTCGCATAAATTAACCAGCCAGCATCACTCACTGGCATCGGTATCTTCGTCAGCTCCTTTCCGATGCAGTTCTTCATGATGCTCCACAGGTTGAGGCTGTAGTTGGGCTTGTCCGCTATGCGCAGCCGCCGATTCCGCTTCACGATCTTCTCTGTGCCCGGAACGTCGCCTGCAACAAACACCGCCATCTAGTGGTGCCCGCACGCACTACATCACCGTCGCCTTGCTCTCCCCCAGAGGGCACTCAGCGCAGCTACGCGCCGCGTGTAACAGATTACGAACGATATCAGCGATCACCGCACAGAGCAGTTGAAGAATGATTTTTTTTATTATCTCATTCGCACCGGCGTCCTCGAATTCCGCCTTCTCCATTTCCGCGTCCTTTTCCGTCCTGCCCTTCATGGAGACGATCACGGCCCGCGTGTGCTTCTGTCGCGGTTCCATTTCTGACCCGGAATCATTCTCGTTGTCCAATTCCGAGCCGGCGGACAGGCTGACTGAGCTTCCATCTCTCCTGAAGTGCAGAAACGGTCGCAGTAAGAGCAGGAGCATGCAACCGAAGCACGCACAATGTTCTTCTGGTGATGATACCGACCAATACGTAACAGGGTAGATAGGTGACAGGTAACTGGCTGATATACACCCAATACGCATCCACAGACATATATAGATCCAGTACAATAAGCACAGAATGCTCCACCTCCACTGACTTTTACTATATTTTAATAAGAGGCCTGGGAATAGGGTGGTACTACGAGGGTAGCTTCTATTGCTTTGGTGAAAAAGGTTGCATTGTATTGGGTTTCACGTGTGTGTGTGTGTGTGTATGTATACATGTTAATTTCCATATGCGGTAGCACAGACTGGTGGCCCCTGCACCAACTACAAATTACCTAATTTCATCCAATATGGACAAGTCTGCTGAATTCTTAATAAAATACCCTGTCGTAGACAGAACCTGCCGGCACGCGCGCGCAGCGTTGAAGGTCGCTCACCTGTGCTGAAGGTCGGGTATCTCAACCTCGAACACCTGTGTGTCTTCCACGGCATCATGGAATTCGTCTTCATCCTCATCCGACACGATGCCACCTGCAAACCGACGGCCAAGCACGTTTTTTTTTAATCATTTGTTATTATTTTTCATTTTTTATTCAGTTATCTTTGCGAATTTCATAGAATCACAACCCGTGGTGCCCATATCAACCCATACTTGACACATAGCGCCTTACTTAATATTATGACAACACATGCACAGATACATAAACCCATGCATGGATCTATACATATGTTCATAATGACGCCTGGAATATTATGACAACACATGCACAGATACATAAACCCATGCATGGATCTATACATATGTTCATAATGACGCCTGGCCCCAGATGCATCTTCTATCCCATGCATGGCCTTACCTGGCCCCAGGTGGATCTATTGCTTCACGCATGGCCTAACCTTGCCCTAGGTACGATTTCTATCTCGCACATGACCTTACCTGACCCCAGGTGCGGCCTCTACCACCTCGCGCATGGCCTTACCTGACCCCAGGTGCGGTCTCTACCACCTCACGCATGGCCTTACCTGACCCCAGGTGCGGTCTCTACCACCTCACGCATGGCCTTACCTGACCCCAGGTGTGTCTTGTTGCTCTCTACCTGCCCTTACCTGGCCCTAGGTGTGTCTTGTTGCTCTCTACCTGCCCTTCCCTGGCCCCAGGTGCATCTTGTTGCTCTCTACCTGCCCTTCCCTGGCCCCAGGTGCATCTTGTTGCTTTCTACCTGCCCTTACCTGGCCCCAGGTGCGTCTTGTTGCTCTCCGCCTGCTTGGTCTTGGCTTCCTTCCTCGCGAACGCCTCCAGATGGCTGTGTTGCTTCGCGAGCTGCTCGACCATCTCCTCAAGACGCATGCGCTGCTCGTGCTCGTACTGCAGCGCCCTCTGCCAGCGCTTGCCCTGTGACGACGCCAGGTCCAGGTACTCAGAGCAAGCCTGCGGAGCGACGCGGAGGATTAGCACCGCGCTCAGAGGAGGAGAAGACACCACGTGTTCGTTGCACCATTATGTGGACATGCACGAAAATACAGTATACGCGACCAGCCCTACATGACTGTCTCTAACGCACAGCTTTCAGACGAGGCCAATAAGATAAGATAATAGATATAAAACATAAAATATAAACAATAAAACATAGATATCGCTGACCCATTCTGAAGATGATAATCACAACAATCTCCCACAACAGACTTAAATGGCACAGTTTTACGATTATTCTCGAAGATAATGAAAAATGATCACTCACGTTGATCATGGCGTTGGCGGTGACACGGAACAGCGTTGCTCGCTCATTGATCGCCTTCACCTTCTGCGGCAGCTCGGAGGTGGCGCCCCCTGCCGCCGGCGGCGGCTGCTCGACGTCTCCGAGCGCCCTCTGCAGGGCAGCGCCGTGCTTCACGATCAGCTCGTTGCACGTGTTGAGGTCCTCGAGCTTGGAGCTGAGCTGACGAAGCGTGCTCTGCAGCTCATGCTTCTCAGCCGGCTCCTTAGGGTTCTCGTCCTCGTCGTCCTCTGCAACGCGGTCAAGGTCGGGTGTGATCAAGGTCAAGTATGGTCAAGGTCAGGTGTGATCAAGGTCGGGTGTGATCAAGGTCGGGTGTGATCAAAGTCAGGTGTGGTCAAGGTCGGGTGTGATTAAGGTCAAGTACGATCAAAGTCAAGTATGGTCAAGGCCTAGTACGATCAAGGCTAGGTGCAGGCTCAGTCGAGGTCAAGTAGAGTAAAATTAAAATTGAGATTGACATTGTGGTCAGTTACATATTGTGGAGATTATGGCCACATGTCTAACTATTTTACCACTTGAATCAGCTCGTGGGCCTTACCCTCGTGTTCAGCACTTGCCCTCCCCCTCCTGCCTTCCATTAAAAACCACCAAACGATAAAATCTATCTATTCCAACGTTTTGACGAGCGAACGTTTCTCGGGGCGCCTCTCTCCCCTCCTCAACCCTGCACCCATGATCCATCCCCTCCATTTTATCACATACTCCCTTTAGCTAAGAGCCCTTCTTTGCGACCCTCCCCCTCTCCCCCGCTGGCACCCATCCCCTCCATTTAAAACAAACAACATTAACTCCCTTTAGCTAAAAGCCCGTGTTCATGCCGCCGCCCCCGCCCCCACCCCCACCCCTGGCGACGTCCCCCTCCCCCACCCTGTGTCTGAGCCCCCGGCGACGTCCCCCTCCCCCACCCCATGTCGGAGCCCCCGGCGACGTCCCCCTCCCCCGTCCCATGTTGGAACCCCCGGCGACGTCTTCAATCGAAATCAACACCACATCAAATCAAGAAACGAAATAAATCAAAGTCAAAATCAACACGAAATCAAAATCAAAATCAAAAGGTAAAGATGAAATGAGTTTACGCATTGGGCGAGAGCTGCCAAGGTGAAATAGGCGGTTTTCGGCGTGTGGGCCGAGAGCGTGCCAGCTACATGATTCATTGCGACCACAGGCTATCCCCAAATGCTTGCTATTACCGTCCGTGTGTTTATCCGTCCGTGTAACATGCACAGTGTATCTTCCTGTGTGTAACGGCGCGTGCACACGCGTGTAACGTGGTGCGTGTAGCCCGGCGTGCGACGTAACGTGTCGCGTGTACGTGCATGTACTCTGCGTGTACGTGCGTGTAATCTTGCTTGTACGTGCGTGGTACCGCGCCGTGTACGTGGTGCTAACCGCGTGTACGTGGCATGCTACTGCGTGGCAACGGTGGCGTGTACCCGCGTGTCACGTGTGTGCACGTCGGCGTGTACCCCGCGGTGTACGTCGTGTAATCTGCGTGGATACCGTGCGTGTGTCTGCGCGTACTTGCGTGTAACGACCGCGTGGGTTACTGCGCGTCGTAGTCTGGCGTGTGGCGTGCGTGTATCTGCGCTGTACGTGCGTGTACCCCGGCACGTGCGTGTACCCGCGTGTATGTGCGTGTACCCAACGTGCACGTGCGTGTATCTGCGTGTACGTGCGTCGTACGCCGGCATGTAGCGTGGGCGTGTATCCCGCGTGTAACGTGCGTGCACGGTGGCGTGTACCGCGGTGTGATCTGCGTGTACGTGGCGTGTACCTCGTGTACTGCGTGTATCTGCGTGTACGCTGGTCGTGTACGTGCGTGCAGCGCGTGTACGGTGCGTCTAATCCCTGCGTGTACGTACGTGTTGCTGCGTGTACGTTCGTGTAAGCGCGCGTGTACGTGAGTGGTACTGCTGACGCTCGACACTGGCAGTTGATTGAAAAAATAAAAGGAAAATAAAAATAATAGAAAGAAACCGTTATTTTACAATCAAGCTGGCATTTCACCGGCAAGTCAGACGCAGATACACGCACAGATACAGCGCGGTTACACGGGCACGTGGCAACGCGGGTAGCACACGTACACGCAGATACACGGCACTTGACACGCACATACGACACGGGTACCGCACTGGTACACGCGACCGTACCACCCGCAGCATACACGCCATCGACACGCGGTACACGCGACGTACACGCAGATACACGCACGTACACGCGGTACACGTACGGTGCAGCGGGTACACCGCACGGTAGCACGCGGTGTCGCACGGCGGGTACACACAGATACAGCGACCGGTAACTAGCAAGCTTGGGTGGGGAGTGAGCCTGATCGC